ATAGTCGATACTACACACACACACACACACACACACACACACACACACACACACACACCCCGTTCTTTCTAACTATCATCCCTGAAAAGTCTGCCTGGGATCTGAAAATCAAGATGGGTTCTTCCCTTACTGTGCATTATCACCAGATGATCATGCTACCACAATGGGAGCTGTATAAGTTCCTACATAGATACAGGTTCTGCAGACCAAATGCTACAGTGACACTTGTGCAAACCCATTGAAAGCAGTGGGGTTTTCAGGTGTTACTGGGAGCATCATGTGAAGACTTCTCACTTGTGTAGTTCCACTACCTTTATTGGATGTACATTGGTGTAACTGGAATTCAGTACATAATTCTATCAGTGTACAGCAAAGAGACTCCAGCTCTCACACTCACCTGTGTTAGCCCTGCAAAGGTAACACAGGTTAAAAAAAGCTGTAAGAATTTATTTTTGTCACTTGTCAGCAAATGTGACTCTGAAAACACACACAGGGAGTACATGTGCTGAGCAAGACGGTGCCAATTTTACATAGTCACTTTGCACCATAGAACTCCATTTGTAATGTGTTTTTTAAATGAGAGCTTAGCTTTTGCAAGAGACTGCTTGTGCCAGGGCATTGTAATTTTTGAAGATTGATGGAATTAAGACCTTCCATTTCTTGGTAGTTAATGTTTCTTTTTTTAAAAGTGATGTAAATCAATATTTTCTATTGAAATTCCTTCAACTGATCATCTGTAATCCTCCCTGGCAGTGGGGAGGAGAAGGAGCAGCTAATGGGAAGTTACTGAAATAGGCTACAGCTCTGCTTTTCTTTTCCAGATGACTGGTAGATACAAGATGTATGCAGAGGAACTCATGAAGGCTGTCCAACTTAACTTCGCACCCAATATTATTAAAGAGTAGCTGTGACGGTGTCCTCTGGTAGGAGAGCTCTTACACCAAGGTGATAGCATCTCCTTTACAAAACAAAAGTGATCTATGTACGTTAGTCTGCAAAAGTCTCCATCTTCGATTATCTTACAGTTGGTACTGCAACTGAAACTTGGCAAGTGCAGGTGCAGTCACTGCCAGTCAAAACTTACTATACATTTTTATAAAGTACTTACTGCAAAGCGATGAGCAAATGATAGCAGGCTGGGTGAGGAACTCACCTGGTCAGATTTAGCTTAAATTCTGAAATGTGCATTATACTATATGAGTGTTGGTGATATAGCATATACAAAACCAATCTGGCCCTGAGGAAATGCTAGTGCACTTTCCCTACATGCTTTGTTTCAGTGGGATAAAAATGTCAACACTTAAAGGCTTTGTCTGAGACTTTCTGACACATGTCTCCTTTTCTTTGTATGCTGAATCAGTCCTATCGTTCAGAAGAGTATCAGGAATACAAGCATTGACTCTTGGTACTTCCCAAAAGGAAGCGCTAGATAAGGAACTGACTGTATTTCCCCTCACTTCACATGATAACTTTACATTGTTACAAGTGGCTGAACGCCCGTGCTGTCACACAGGTGTGTGGTTTGAGCATTGGCCTGCTAAACCCAGGGTTGTGAGTTCAATCCTCGAGGGGGCCATTTAGGATGGTAAAAATCTGTCTGGGGATTGGTCCTGCTTTGAGCAGGGGGTTGGACTAGATGACCTCCTGAGGTCCCTTCCAACCCTGATATTCTATGATTCTAAGCTTCAGAGTGGTGTTTGGGGTTAGTGGTGTGTGTTGGTTGTGTCTATTTGTGTGGGTTATGTTGTGCTAGGAGATTTATGTTGATTTTTGTGGCTGTGGCAATTGGGCCAGGTAATCCAGCATCTATGCAGTTTCCCTAGTACAACCAATGAAATTATTGCATGCAAATTAGCTGTAGAGTAAGGTGGTTGCGTTACCTCTGATACCACAATGGTCTAGAACCCTCGGCATAGCATAGAGATGCATGCCTTACTATAGCTGTACACCACCCAGGTGTAATACGTAAGGTCAAAATGGCTGAGAACTTAAAAATTGGATGGTAGTAGGCCATGAAACCCAATGATGATGGAACCTGGTGATATTGTAAACAAACAGAGCTTTCAAGCCATGCTTGGACCTGTTTCCATTGCTTCACACTGACTCAACAGACATTTTAGGCTTCAGAGTGCCATTCCTAGAATCTTACTATATGGATGCTGCCACACTATGTATTTCAGCTTGTGGACATTGTACCTCTTAGGTTATTTATCTTGCTGGGGAGGTAATGACCTTAGCATTGCTGTTCCACCATCTGACTCCTTAGAGCCAGGGTACCCAACATATGGCCCATAATCCTACACAGCCCACCAGAGCATTCATAAGGCTGCAGTGGGGCTCGGACTATCAGCCCCGGGTGGTGGGACTCCTGCTGTCGGCTGAAATCTTATTAAGATATGTAGAATCTGAGAGTGTGCTTAGGTTTATGTGGTCTTCTAGTATAATAAAGTTGGGCACCATTGCCTCAAGAGAATTGGTGTATCTAAATTGGTGGTTTAAAAAAATGAACTGCATGTCCCATGTATTAGTTTTACAGGGGAAAATACGGAAGGAAAAGGTCTGGCCAAAAACAGAGTGGTTGAAGTTAGGATCTTATGTCGGTGCCCAAATAAGGATTTAGGAGCCTAATTTTTGGCAACCATTTTTAAAAGTCTTGGCCTCTGTCCTGTAAAAAAAGATTTAAAATGAAATGTGTATGGTTTGGCTTGACTTAGTAAAGATAAAAGGGGCCTGGGGGCTATTGAAAAACCTTTGAAGGATAAGTAATTTATTTAAAGTGAGCCAAGGCTCTAAACGTATAAAGGATGGAATAAAAATAAGAAAAAGATTTGTTTGTAGAATTCCCAATAAAAAAATTTAGTGGTAAAATTTTCTTAAGAGAATTGGTGGAAGTTCCCTTGTTTGGGACACTTATGACAAGTGATCAGTAAACAGAGTGTGAGAAAGTAATCCTACAACGGCAAGGGGTAGCACTGGGTACTTTGTAGACCTTTTCCAGTGCGAAGACCAAACTTGTCTGTAATGCCAGAGTAACTCCATTGAAATCAAAGGCATTATTCTCTTTTATACTAATAAATTTTAGTTCAGAATCTAGCTCTTAATATCCAATTTGTATCTTAACCATCTTAATGCTCTACAATTTAAAAAATCTCAGTCAAGCAGGATTAAATGCTACACATTCTATTAGGGCTTTAATCTAAACTCCATGAAGCTATTATGAATGTTGCTTTCTAGAGCATTGATTAGTTTGGCCGTGAAGGACAGACAGCTTTGTAGCGAGACATCTTTTTAAATTACAGCCAAGCCAAAAAGAACTCTAACAGTGTTCAGTACTTTGTAATGGAATGTATTACTATTGCAGACTTTCATAGCACTTCAGGATTTTGTTGTCTTATGTTCCTGTAGCCAGTTTTTAAATACAGGAAACTAAAGCTTCTAAGCAGGGCCCCAAATTACATGAACAAAAAAAAGTAAGAAGGCTGCCTAGGAAGTTTTTTCTGTAGTATAGGTGAGTAGCTTCCAACCTTCAGTCTGGTGACTGTTCCACTGGAAATACAACCATTGCATAATCCATGGGTATAACAAATGATAGTGGAATTCATTCAGTATCACATGCAGGAACAGACCATGTGATGTGAGTGGGGAAAAGGGGGGATCAGTAGTGAGAAAGAAATGTAATATTTTTAAGCTTTGTTCATAACATGCATTGGATCTGTCTGCTCACTTTTACTTTCCTGTCTCTCCCCGTGTCACACCCACAGTAAGCACTTAATCCAAGCAGCACAAGAAAGCAGGGAACCCCAGCTCTGTGGCAAAACAAACTGCCTGAAATGCTTGTAAGCAGCAGGACTGGTTCTCTCTGCAGGGGGGGTATTTCTGCCTATCTTCTGTTATCTCTCTCTATACCACCACCTCCAGGTTGAGATTTGGCCATATTTATTTTTTATACAAATTAACTGTAGAGTCTGGGATTTCATTGCTTTTCTTCTATTGTTTTGTATTATAAAGCATTTAATACAGCCCACCTAGAACCAGATAGTGGCCCCCAAACAGGACGTGACCTATTAGTTGGGAATCATTGGTGCAGATAAGGCTTCTGTGTATTGATCCCATTAAAAGTATGTAAACCCTAACAAAGGAAACTATTGCAAGGATGATAGGATGTTATGGTTTATCACATAGTTTGACCTTGCAGCAGTTTAGCACATATACCAACCCCATACCGTACCACTATAGTTCAACAAATGCCTTGGGGTACTCCTGTAGTACCCAGTAATGGTGCTAGAGGCACAGAGGCTTTTAAGGAACCTCCAAAAGCCCAGCATGGCATTGTGAGATGGAATTAGAAGGAGCAGCTGAATTGGTGCAGCAGTTGCAATTCTTGTGGCTTCTTTCAAACCATGCAGAGAAATTGGTGTAGATTGCACCAGTGCAGAGCTGAAGATCTCAACCAAAGAGTTGCACTCAGCTAGGATACTCACTGGTTGTGTGATGCCTAAGACAACTGTAGTGTGTGGATAGCAATGGTACATGGAATGCTTTGAGCTTGGAATGTAACCAGTTTTGCTTCCCTTTTTGTTTGCCCAGTATAGTCTGATGTAGTGATGTGTCTGGGAAAAGTGAAAGGAATATGAACCTAAATCCTAATGACAGCATACCCACAGCTGAAGTAAATATTTGTCTCTTAAGAGTTTCAAAATGGCAGTTTCAGCTAATTGTATCATTTCTAGTTTAATACATACATCTTTTAAAGATCTTCACACATTTTTGCATAATAAACTGGTTGACAAATACAGCTGCTACACTGTGCTATGGGGTTCACTTAAAACCTTTATTGAGAATGGCTCAATTACAGACAAAATATATTTATGTATAAAATTTCTCTGCATGTAAAATATCCCTTTCTTTGCTGTGGACAATATGAATAAAACAAGATATTACACAGAAACATTTTCAGGGTGAGCTTTTTGATAAGCAAATTTCTAACAGAAAAAAGATAAGACATTCTTTATTTTTGCCCAATTAACTGCTTTCTTACCCTAAAGTTTGACTCAAGCCTACTCAATATCAGCTCTACTCAAATATGGCCTTCGCCTCTTCTCTCTAGGCTCATCTTCCAGGGCAGTCTTCACTTGTTTTCCCTGCCTGTAGGAGATCCTGTGGCAGTGAGGGGCTCCTGTTTTCTTCTTTGTCATTTAATCAGCTGTAATTTAATCTTTAAATTCCATTTAACTATTTAAAATCCAGCCACCCAAATACTTATTAACCCAACAGCAGTAAAAATGATTACACCCATATAGCTGCTTCCATCATTTACATGAGGTATTCTTACAATGAGACAAGATTCCATTTTGCCTTTGAGTTGAATACATGCAGTCTAATGTCTGCTCCCAAGTTGGTTCAAGACCAGGATCTGAACACCAGAACCAAAGCTGTATGGCAACATATCATTACTCTTAACCCCGCTGTAAGAACGATTTTCATTGGGCTAAACACACCCCTTTCAGAAAATAAATTCCATGGTGCTTAAATTATATTGGAGGAGTTATGGGATGGGGGGGAAAAAGCACAGATTAACAAAAGATACTGAATAGTTAGTTTACAGATGTGTTGTTAGTAACATATCTAAAAATCCTTCACAGTGAAGCATTACACACAAATGGACTTGGACATACAATTCTCTACGGCAGTGACCAGCTGGTAGCTTAGCCAGTTTTGTAGGCATTATAAGGCAAAACCTGTTACTGGTTTTGGCCACAGGGCCTCTGCAGTGATTGCAATGGAACTGCTGATGCTTCTGTTCTGTCTGCCAATAACTTGTACCCTAATTCCCAGTCATCTTCACATGCAGCAGGTGCCCAAGTGCATTCCAGCCACACCTGCTGTAAATGAGTTCTGATTGAAAACACATTTCCATCAAACTCGTTTTTCAGATTTTGCAAAGGAACGGCATTTCTACTCACCTGCCACTGTATCTCAGGCACTGAAGACAGGAGCACTCTAGATGATATTGAACATACCCCATCAAGTACTTTTTGGGTACTCTCCAGTGTTTGCAAGCCACCTAGATTAGAAAATGTTTTTCCTTACAACTTTTATCCTTTAGCGTGTTGCTAAACACTGACTCCCTGTACTCTGTTTTCACCAGAAAGGGTGCTTTTTATTTACTACCTGCACCATCAGGGATTACAGCTTTAGGCAATGGGTTTAAGATGTGTCTCCTCAGCTGGTTGTCTAGGTACAAAACATATCATGTTATAGTGCTTACATCCATAGCAACATTTTTTCTTTTGATTTTAAAATCATTTTGGAATTTGGAGGGGAGTTAAAACCAGTTATAATTTTAGAGTAGACCAGATTTTGGGCCCAAAGTATTTGCCAGCGTGACTTTAAATCAACTGTACATTTATCTGAATCCTCAGCTGAAAAGGCTAAGTATAAAACCAAGCACATTTCTATTGTAGTTAAAGTCATAAAGCTAAATTTCAAGACGCGATGAGACTGGGAGTCAAAATTCGTAGGAAGTGTAAGGTCAAAGCTGAATTACTTCCTACACTTCAGTGCTTCTCTGCCAGGCAGGTGATCCCAGATAATATGTTAAAGGGGCTGCACACAGCCTGCTGCAATCTTACAGTTTAGCTTAAAGCATCAGAATGCAGTGAGGACCCTGCTGCTTATTCCAGAACACAGCTGTAGAGTGAGAAGAGGTAGAAAGTCTGGGCTCCTGCTATAACATCTTTGGACTTCAGCCAAGAGAAGTTTGTTCTCCCTGCCTTCTCAATTTGAAGCAGAGTTCTGAGCCAGGCTACTGGCAGTATCTGTTCCTGGGAAATCCCTCAATAAATCTCAACAACAAATGTTTAACCTCAAATTACAATACAGGCTTCGCGCAAAATCTGTTCTCTCTCCTGCCAGACACTTAAAACAACCCTCTGCACACAAGGCATAAACCTTCAGTGCTTGGATGACTACTTAATGCATTTGCTTAATCAACAGTTTAAAAACTGTACCTAGACTTGATCCCTGGATACTGCAGAATGTTGTGTGTGTGTGTGGTGTAGTGGGTAGAAAAATGTTTCCAAGCCTTTGCACACAGACTTAAAATTTCTTAGGCCCAAATAAAATGTCACCAGTCAGCGTTTTGGGGCAACACAGAACTTTGGTCAAGCCATTCCTAGAAACGTTTTAACTCATGCAAGATAACTTGGTAGGCAAAATGACACCTAGGTGCTTACTACTTAGAAGGAGTAGCCTATAGCCCTTAGCAGGAAGACTGGTCCTCCACTGACAATAAGATCAAACTGCAAACTCAATTCCCAGGTACAGGTGGTGAGAGCAGTCAAGCTGGGTTTACACAAGAAGCTTGCTTTGTAAGTGGTATTTCATTCCCATTATGCAGGCAATGCTGATAGAATCTGCCACAGTATGTCAACAGCTGACAAGTCATTTTCTTCCTTGAAAAAAAATAATCGTGGGCCAGGTTAATCATTTATCCTATCTACACCCTTCTGACCATTAAATAACTAAATCTAGAGTGAAGATCAGCTCTGGCAGTTTTGAAGGCAAACCAACGTGTATTTCCTCTTTCTTTTCTTGCTTCATGTAGCTGAACCTGTGCACAAATTCCCACGTGTGGACTAAAGTCGTGTACTTGGTGTGTTTTATTTCAAGTCTTTAATTGAGAAACAAGCTCACAGCCAACTGTAAGAGTCGGACTCTGAGGGGATTGCATTTTGAAACTGCTCTCAAATGTGCAACGTTAAAATTAAAATGTGTGCGTGTGTGTGTTAGATATTGCAACATCAGATATTTCATCATCGGGAATAAAAAGATGAAGACAACACTGCAATATAAATGTCTGAATGTCTATAAAGCATCCCTTGTTTAAGATCCCACTGCAAATCAGGAGCTAAGTCTCTGCAGTAAGAGTCCTGAGACAAGCAGCCAGCTGCCATGCAGGTGCTGGGCAGACTGCGCCGGAAATGACAAAGCAGCAAGCTTGGATGTCAGCTGTCCGTGTAGATAAACAGGATATCCTCATCTGTGCCGTAACTTGTCCTGGCTTCCTCAAAGTTACTGATGCTGGTGCTGCATGTTCCTGTGGGACAGGAGCAGAGTGTTAGTCATGCTGAGCCAGGGGAAGAATTTGCTCATGAACAGCTCTTAGCCTGCCTTTGGGTAAACAGAACTAGATCTCATGGGCTTGATCTTGCAGCCCTTACTCGCTTGAGTAGTCCCATTGATGTCAAGAGCAATGCTTATGTGCATAACCACTGCAGAAGTGGGCTCTGTGTAATTACACACCATGTTGTTCTTTCTTCAAGATACTGAACGTGTATAGTTTAGCTCTCCTAAACTGTCCCCCTCTTAATCATAAGGCTTCTGCAATCCTGTCAGAATATATTTCCAATGCTTCATCTGAATCGCAGCCCAGAAAAGAATGAAATCATTGAATTCTGTAAGAACAATCATGGGCCAATCAGCTGGTGCCGCCTGGTATCAGGGAAACTCCAGCTGGTTTTGCATTATGCACGTTAGTAATGAGGAGATGGAGAATCCACACAGAATGAAACAAAGTTCAGCTACTCACGGTCAGCATAGGCAGGGTTGTTGTAGTAGACACTCCCTGAGGCTTTGTTGTAGCCACACAACACAATGAAATGACCCTGGTAGTCAGGATTCCTGCAGAAGCACTTCTGGCCAATAGGGAGGAAACAGCAATATTTGACGGGACTTGAGCAAAGTTCACACAGCAACAAGACTGCATTCACCAGGACAATGGCTACATGACCTTGGGACAGGTGCTCCTGAATGTCCTGGACAGTCACTGTGCTGCAGAAGAAAATTCAGACATTCACAAAGAAGCCCAACGATGTGAGTGTGGCTGATGTCCATCTCTGTTATGTGATTGCTATGATTATTTTACATATCTTTGTTGTTGAGGGCTCTACTGCAGCCGCAGACAGTAGTTGTTCCATTCAAGTCTATTATACCCTCACTGCCAGTGAAGAACAGAGCCGTTCTGGCTGAAGTTCTATAGAACATGCATTAAAATGAATGGAATCTCAAGATGTCCCAGATGCCCTGGAGGAGCAGCATTTTTGTCAGAAGTATTTGACAACCATTCAACATTAGGGAAATTAGTTTATTTATGGGGCGGTTAGGGATGCTGTAGAATCCCATCCCACCCACCCAGAAGCCCAAATGCAGCTGGTCTCTAAAGCACCAAGTCTTTCTCAGCTGAGGGATTGGATGGCACAAGATCCCCAGTCATCTTGGTCTCTGCATCCTAAGATACCTTTGTCAGGTAAGAATAGTTTCCCAATTATAAAGTTGCATTGTTTGGCTCTCTATTCTTGCCAGGATTATTGTTCTAGTATTTGATTGTACCCAATTTCGAGCATGAAAATCACCCATGCCCACCTGGCAATCCCATTTATTTGAGTTGAAGTTCTTCATTCAGAGACACAGACAGATGGTGTGTACCATACCAGTCTGCACTCATCCCCTGGATCAGATCCAAACGTTCAGGCTGTGTGCAATGCCTCACTGAACTGATGTCCTTTTTAATCTCTTCCAGCACTGCTCTTCCCCATCGCCTTCTCAATCCTAGTACTGCACAGGCGCATATACAACTGCCTCCCCCTCCCTGATGTGAGCCAAATCTAAAGCTTTGTTTCTGTGCTAGATATGGCCTAGATTTTTGCTGCCGCCTCCTCCTCCCAGGTCACAGCACTAGGTGGATAGATGCTGCTATGCAAACTCTAAGTACATTAACAGGACACTAAAGAGTCTGGCAAATGCAGGTTTAAAAAAGCATGTAAAAGCACAATAAGGCCATTGTTTCCAGGCACAAATAGTACCTTCTCTGTCTTCTCTTGCTACTACTCATCTACCCCAGTAAACAATATACAGAGTCAAATGCAGCCCTGGTGGAAGTGGCTGCAA